GGGTGCTTAGAGCACACGTCATCACTTTGTTATGAGGCAATGCGTGATGCAAAGACGGCAAAACGCCAAATTTGCATTGCGTGGATAGATTTGAAGAATGCATTTGGTTCAGTGCGCCACAATCTGATACAGTATGCTCTAACCCACTACAGCCTTCCTTTGCAATTCAGGAAATTAATTTTTTCCTACTACGACAGTCTTTGCGCTTTCGTCGTACAACCACACACTCCCACCTTTAATTACAACATTGGTGTTTTCCAGGGGTGCCCCTTGTCCTCGGTCCTTTTCAATATTTGTTTCCAGCTTCTGCTGGACTCACTTGCAGCCCCTGAATTAAGTTGCCTCTCCTATGATTTTAAATCTGCCCCTTTGCAAGTGTCCCAAACAGCTTTTGCTGATGACTTAGGCCTCTATAGCAAATCTAGTGCAGGTTGTCAAAAACTCATTGCGGTCACGGAGGACTTTCTCTCGTGGACCCAATGTATGCAGGCGCCGCCGCACAAATGCAAAAGCAGTGCAGCAAAGCTTGTAGATGGCCGGTACAAACCTTACGATCCCTGCCTGACGATGTCAGGGAGGAAGATTGCTTTCATTGACACTGCAGAGTTCAAGTTCCTGGGGCGAAGGCTGCATGCTGATTGCTCTGAGCAGACCCAGCGGGAAGACATCCGTCAACTCCCTGTGTCTCTCATGCAAAAAGTAGATGGCTCTTGGCTTCAAGACCACCACAAGCTATGGCTTTACCACCATCTTGTAGTGCCCAAGCTTTCTTGGTCCTTCCAGGTTCTTGAACTCACACAAGGTTTTGTACGTGAACTGCACTTTATGTGTTTACCATTTCTGAAGAAATGATCAGGCCTACCTCGATGCGCAAACTCTGCCATTCTTTTTATTGGCAGTCGCAAACGCTTTGGCTTACGCCTCCACTACCTTCCTACGGTGTGGAAAAAGTGCCAGTCCATCAAATGGCACATTCTTCGATCGAGTGGGGACGCGCGCATGAGGGCGCTGTACACTCTGCGTCGGAGTAAGGATGCGAAGCTGACAAAGCGATATGCGGCGACAATAGAGCTGGAGTGTGCAGAGGCATCAGTAGGTTCAGGGACTCTCCGTCCACCGTCATCTTCAAGTCATCGTGCAGGGTTGGGTGCTCGTGCTCCGAAGCAGCATTCCAAACCCCCGAGGAAGGATCTCCTTCAAACATTTGAGGAGATCAACGCGCAGGAGCAGATTTTGAGGCTGAAGACTCTTCAGGTGCAAAGCAAGTGGTTGGAGTGGACATCGGTGATGTGGCAGGATCTTTCGTGGAAATCCCTTTTGTACGGTGGTACTGGTAAGGATTTGAAATTTCTTCTCGCATCAACCCTCGACGTGCTACCTTCTCCGACGAACCTACGCCGTTGGGGAAACACCGTAGTGGATCCGTACTGTAGTTTGTGTCGTGCCTGGGCCTGTACTACGCGCCACGTGCTTGTCGCTTGTCGCGTAGCGCTGGACCAGAGACGTTACACCTGGAGGCACGACAACGTACTCGGGGTCATCGTCAGGAACATGCGTGAGCTGAGGAGATTCGAATCCGCACTGCTGCAAACACCGTACAAACCGAAAATTCAAATGAGCTTGACTTCATCTCGTTTTGCAAGGCAGGAGAGAAGCCAGTTCGCGTTCAGCCCAGACGAAAGTTGGTTACGACTGATCTCCTGTCAGCGGCCTCAGACTGGAAACTTCTTGTCGACTCAGTTAGTGCAAAGATTTCTTTCCCTAGCTGTGTTGCACTTACAACCCTAAGACCAGATATAGTTCTGTACTCTACGAGTCGTAGGATTGTATTCTGGATGGCGTTGACAGTTTGTGCTGAGGACAGATTCAGTGTCAGTAACTCGCGGAAGGACAGGCGGTATGCGGATCTGGCCGATCAATGCCGAGCAAACGAGTGGCAGGTCGTTTCTTTTTCGGTTGAGGTAGGTGTGCGTGGTTTCATCCCGGACTCTCTTCGGAGGGCTCTGAAAGCGCTTGGGTTTTCTAATCAAAAAATAAAATATATTTGTAATTTGTGCAGTAAGACGTCTCTGCGAAGCAGCTACATCATCTGGTTGCGACGTCAACAAAAACACAGGTCGGAAGATCCACTTTTCTGAGGTACTGTATGTGGGGCTCCGTTTATTGAGGTGCGTTGAAATTTATTCTCTTTATCTTATTATTTCTTTTCTTTAATTTCCCCATATGAGTTCCTATCAGTTGCTGTGAACACCTTGAGTGGAGAGCGCTTGCTCGAGCGTTGAACCGGGTTCTTAATCCACCATACCCAGTTCGCAAGGCTGGGCGGGGTTGTGAGCAGGCTTTCATTTCATCTTTTCTTATTATTTCTTATTATTTCTGCTTTTCATCTCATTACAAAAATTCTGCGCATTTTTTCTCCATCTGCGCATAAAATCTAGACTGACAACCTGCTTGTTAAATCATGCACCTGCTTTCAGGCGTAAAAACCCTGTTGTAGAGGTTTCAGTCCTCATTTGCTAGACTTACCTGTCTTTATAAATGTAACTTACTCTCTCTCTCTCTCTCTCTCTCTCTCTCTCTCGCTCTCTCGCTCTCTCGCTCTCTCGCTCTCTCGCTCTCTCGCTCTCTCGCTCTCTCGCTCTCTCTCTCTCTCGCTCTCTCTCTCTCTCTCTCTCTCTCTCTCTCTCGCTCTCTCGCCCTCTCGCTCTCTCGCTCTCTCTCTCTCTCGCTCTCTCTCTCTCTCTCTCTCTCTCTCTCTCTCTCTCTCTCTCTCTCTCTCGCTCTCTCGCTCTCTCGCTCTCTCGCTCTCTCGCTTTCTCTCTCTCTCTCTCTCTCTCTCTCTCTCTCTCTCTCTCTCTCTCTCTCTCTCTCTCTCTCTCTCTCTGTAGTAGACGGACTTTCCCCTACACAAATCACTATGTATTACTATGTATTGCACTATGCTTTGCTGGCACCATCAGATCCCTTGCTTTCATTTAGAGATCGCTAGCTAGCGCTCGGAGCTGTAACTGGCAATCTCGTACCGTATATAGATCCGTGTGTCAGTTGCCCAGTTCAGTTGTTGCAAAGTCTTTGCTTCCGTTGTTTCTGTCGTCTTACCTTCATTTGAGTCTTTCAATATACTATAAGTTCTGTGCTACCTACGTTTGTCTTTTCGTGCAATATTTTTCCCTGAGGATGCTACTTGTGTTTTGAGTCGGAGAGACTGAACCAGTTTTGCCTTGTCACTCGGTCGCATACTACACACACACACACACTCTCTCTCTATCTTTCTCTCTATCTTTCTCTCTCTCTTTCTCTCTCTCTCTCTCTCTCTCTCTCTCTCTCATTGGGCGCTTTCGATTACCATGGCGTTTACACAATTCTGGATCTGGGTTCTATAATTCTCGAATGACCAAAAGTACGGATTGCGGCCATGTAAACGAACGACTGGAATTTACAACGCAATATATTCATGTCATGTCACAAACGAAATTGGTCGTAAAAGGAGATCTTGTACAGCCTCGCGCACACGTGGACCCAACATCGCGTACCGGTCCGTCCCGGTGAAGGCTCCATGTCGGCAACCATATTGGGCTTCGATAAAGCTGAACATGTGTGTGAAAGGATCACCCACTGAAATGATCTGGTAATAATTATACTCAGCTCCGAGAGAAAACTGAACTGCGGCAAGTAGCTTTTTGGGAAGACAAAAATAGCAATAACATGCAGTTGTAGCCCTGTTTCCGCACCAGGCCGGCCAGGGAGGCTCTTCGCGTGCTAGAGGCTGCGTTTACACGACAACGTTAGGGGTGAAAACGCAACAAAATCCTTTCGGATGCATGGTTCATTTACACGGTACACGGAACAAAGTGTAAAAGTCGTACGCCAAAATGGAAGAAAACCAAAACGCTGGCCAAGGTGGAAGAATTTGAAAACGGAAATTTTCTGCCGGATATTAAAAAATGGGTGTGTGAACAGTCGAAACGGTGTGCTGGCCTCGTTTCCCGTCACATTAGTTTCGTTTTTGGCCGTTAACACGGATCCGACAACCAAAAAATTGTTTCTACAATTTTAGTCATGTCACGAGTGTTGTCTTGTGGCCTGTTTTCAACTATTACTTGAGTGTGATTGGTGTTTCCACGGCAACACTTGGCACATGACGAACTTTGGCGGATCCTTTGCTCCCGTGTAGACGCGTGAACACGACACAAACGAAGACAAGCTCGGACCAGCTTTGATCGTGTAAACGCACGAAACGAAAAAAAGAATGCGGGACTGAAAACGGAAAACTAGCCGTGCGGTGACGTGTAAACGCAGCCTGAGTCATGACCGGTCATGGCCATGAGTCATGACCGGTCATGGCCATGAGTCATGACCGGTCATGGCCATGACCGGTCATGACTCATGGCCATGAGTCATGACCGGTCACATGCCGAGTGTGCAATCCTGGCGTCAGAATTAGAGAAATTCTGCCCTCTCTCCAGAATTGACGGAATTGAATACTGTGGTAGTCCCATTGAACTATGGCTGATAGTTGCATGACTCTTGTTGTAATGTATGTTTTGTCTCTGTCATTGATGCGCTTTCAGTAATCTGCTGATATGCTAGAAGCATCCTAGACCTACCTGCACTGTGTTCCTTCTGTACGCATTCGCCACATACTTGGCATGCCCTATCCCTAGCGCTGGGTAGTACCATGCAGTCTACCAGCGACGTAGGTCGCACGTGATACTTGTAGTGATTGTACATATTGACGGATCCTGGCGCAAGGTCGAGGAGATCGAGAGAGAGAGCCCGAGAATGGCGGCCAGATCCATAGTGTCCTAATTTATTATCCAGAACCGTTTTCCTTGTATTTATTCTTATTGCATGTATTGATTAATCCCATTGCTGGATTGAACCGTGTTGGCTGGTGTGAACTGATTGACGAGTTGACTGAAACATTGGCGCAGTGAACAGGATTCTTTTCTTAATAAGTCACTCGTTGAAGTTTGTAGTTTTCACCACGCACGTGGGAAATGGCAGAAAAAGTAAAAGTCGGCGTCCGCCTTGACCTGGACCATGAGCTGGGAAACGATCATTTCCTTACTTGGCGTAGTCAGTTGGAGATTGGCTTTGCACTCCACGAGGTGAAGGATCAGTCGAAGCAGTATTTGGCAGCAGCTGCCAATTTAGGCGAGTCAGCAAGTCACTACTTATGGCAGAGCTACCCGACAGTGCCAACTACTGCAACTAATCCCTACAACGATCTTATCAAATTGTTCCAAGAATATTTCGGCTCGAAACAGAGCGCAGCGTCCCGTTTGGCGGAATTGTTTGCAGTCGAGCAACGTCCTGGGGAGACTGTACAGGCCTTTCGGCTGCGGGTGCAAAAAGACATGAGGGTTTGCAACCTGACCAGCACTCGTACTGCCGAGGAACTACTGGGAGTTGTGGGAGTCCACCTGTTTGCACGGGGGCTCAGCTCTGCCAGTGCCCGAAAGAGTGTCTTGGAGCACGATGCGCAGGACTTGAGCTCCGCCGCAGCCAAGGCGCAGGCAGTGGTATTGGCTGAAGAGGGTGCCAAAGAAGCACCAGTGCCAGAGGTCAGCTATGCAGCTACGCGTCAACCTGGACATGCACCATTGCCAGCATCAGGCTGCGGATATTGTGGAGAGACGCACGCTCCAGGCAAGCCGAACTGCCCAGCAGCGCGTATGTTATGTGCCCAGTGTGGGCGTAAGGGACATTTTGCATCGGTGTGCCGTGCCGGATCTGGTCGAGTGGACCGCAGTGCCCAGACCCAGTCGCAGAGCACGTCATCCAGGCAACACAACCGATCAGCACCAGCCGTTTCGTCACTCCGAACTGGTGCAGCATCACCCGCCGTACAGTCCGCCCAGCCACCAGAGGCCTATGAAACATTCGGGGTACAGGCAGGGAAGACCGGTTTCACTCTACCTCTGAGGCAGGTAACATTGGACTGCCGACACACCTTGTCGCTAAGAGCGGACTCTGCCAGCATGGTTTCCATCATCACTAAGTCATTACTCCCATCGGGGTACGTCCTGTTACCGTCGCCATGCCCACTCCAGCCAGTGGGGACGCAACGCATAAAAGCTGTGGGCGTGTTTGAGGGTAACCTGAGCTATCAGGGCCGCGAAACGACTGAGACTATCTTTGTAGTCGATGATGCACAATGCACTGTGCCAGCATTACTGGGAGAGCAGGCCTCCATCCGTTTAGGTCTTCTGGCATTGCCGATTTCAGCAGTTGAAATCCCAGCCTGTGCCGAGGGCCTAGCGTCACTCCCTGCTATGCGCGGCCCGACTACAATCGCTCTCGATCCGGATCACCCTCCGTCTCAACAGTCATCTCGACGGGTAACACCGGCACTGCTCACCTCGCTACGCCAACAACTAGATGCATGGCTAGAACAAGGAGTGGTCGAGATGGTGGAGGAAGTAACGGCTCGGGACTTTGTTTCGCCACTGGTAGCCACACCGAAACCCGACAAAACCATGCGCTGGTGCGTAGATTTACGACAAGTCAACGCAGCGGTAAGGCGACCGGGTGTGCAACTCCCAACAGCTGATGAGCTTCTATCTCGACTGTCGGGCGCACAGATGTTCTCGAAGCTTGACCTGAAGTCCGGGTATTCTCAGCTCGAGATCTCACCTGAATGTCGTCATGCCTTCGTGGTCGCCTCACCCTTGGGGTACTTCCGTTTCTGTCGTCTACCGTTCGGCGTGTCCAGCGGCCCTGAATTATTTCAACGTAAGATGGAGCAAATTCTGGCAGGATGTGAAGGGGTAGTCATCTACCTAGACGACATTCTGATTTATGCTCCATCATTGGAAGAGCATGATCGACGCAAGGCAGCAGTCCTGACGGCTCTCAAGGAGTACAATGTCACCCTGAATGACAAGAAGTGCGTCTTCCAGGTCTCAGAGCTGGAGTTTCTGGGACATCACGTCTCGGCGAAGGGCATTTTGCCAGGTCCATCGAAGGTTGAGTCACTCAGTCAGATGTCGGATCCCACCAATGTGGCCGAACTCCGAGCATTTCTGGGCTTAGCAACCTACATGGCAAAGTTTATTCCTAACATTGCCTCGGTTGTCGCTCCGATGACAGCACTATTGTCTGGCGAGTGGAATTGGACAGCGGCTTGCCACACCGCAGCTGAGAAGATACGCAGTCTGATTACTAGTGCACCTATTCTGGCGCTATTTGACCCAACGCTGCCGACCCGCATCGAAGTTGACGCGTCTGGTCATGGCCTTGGAGCAGTACTCCTACAGCAGTCGCAAACAGATGGTCAAGAGTGGCGACCTGTCTATTACGCAGGCAGAAAGTTGTCAGATGCAGAGTCACGCTATGCAACCATCGAGCGAGAGGCACTGGCGGTCGCGTGGGGCTCTAATCGTTTCCGCAGCTTCATCACCGGTGTCATGGCCGCGCTTGGCGGGTTTGTGACTTGGCTTAGATCAGTCTAGTGGCTACCCAGGTAGACGACCAATATAGTCGCCATCCAAGTTGCTAGCTCACATAGAACGACAGGTTTCTAATTCCACTTGAACAGTGTTTATTTGAACCATTGCAGTACTAGATCGAAAGATCAAGTGTGTAGAGTCAAAAGACCAAAGCAGGAGAGAGTCGGAGTGACTCTCTCAGAATCGAGAGGAGTAGTGAGCTCCCCGAGAATCGAGAGGAGTAGTGAGCTCCCCGAGAATCGAGGATGAATGTTAGCAAAACAGCTCCTTATATATGCTACATTATGTGATCAAAAGTATACAGTGGCAAGAATGCGTAAGGATTATTTCTATATTACAAACAGTGGTGCAATATGTGCAATCAGCCAAACTAGAATATAGTACAAAGAATGATCAATCAATACGGGGAGCTCGCTCACCCACATTACATGAAAGGACTCCGAGGCTCTTCGTGCGACGGGGCCTGGAGTATGCTGTCGGAAGTTGCTGCAGCTAGAGCACGCCGCCTCCGTACGCTGCCTTGGTCGTTGGTCACCCTTCATCTCCTGCCCGTAGGCTCTTCCCTCTCATTACCCCGTAGGGTGCTTCACGGTCAAGCCGTGACCTCTCCCAAAAAGGGATAACGGAGTCCGCAGTGCGCGAAGCACTTGCAGGACCCTTTCTTACGTCGTACGACGCGAGAAGAGGGGCCTTGCTTGCTCGACTAACAAAGGTATCAGCTCCCTTGCAGGACTAAGCAGGGTCCCCTCAAGCTCAACAGTGTAGTGAGTACAATGCTGACGACTTGTACTGAAGGTGTAGCCGCCGTACGACAACACTTGTGACTCGAGGCCACGAGTTGTAAGCCATGATTGCTCAACTAACGAAAGTGCCAAATCCTTCGTAGGACTAATCATGGTTCTTACAGAACTCTAGAATATTTCGGAGCCCAGCTTTTGGCTGCTGAACTCAATGCATGGTCGCTTTCACGACGAGTCTGATCCGGGTCATGACACCGGCATGCCTGTGACCATTATCACTGACCACAAGCCACTGGTTCACGTATTTATGCCGTCGTACAAGCTGGCCTCAGCTAGTCTCCGAGTACAGCGCCTGGTGTTGAAAGTGCAAGACTTGACCTTAACCGTGCAATATCGCCCCGGCAAGTTGAATCACATTGCTGACGCATTGTCCAGGCTGCCGGCTGAGGATGCTGACCCGAGTTTCCTTCTCGTCCATGCTGTCACCGTGGCAGACGGTGTTTCAGCCCATCGCCAGTTGATTGCCAGAGAAACAGCGCGTGACTCCACTCTGTGCTCAGTGCGAGATGCGCTGCGATCGGGTAAATGGCCGTCGGCGACAGAGCTCGCACCGTACCAAGCCCTTAGTTCGGAACTCAGCGTGTGGCCCTTTCCGAACTCGTCGGACTTTCTCATTCTGAGAGGGGAAAGAGTGGTGATTCCAGCATCGGCAGCTCAACACGTACTGAACCTGGCTCACGAGGGACACCTTGGTCGAGACAGGACACTGGCTCTACTCAAGGAGACTGTGTGGTGGCCCGGTTGGAACACGGCAACTCGACATTTCCTAGCCAGCTGTACACCATGTGCGATAGAAGCAGCTATACGCCCAGTACCGCTGAAACCACGCGACCTACCTCCACATGCCTGGCACATAGTCGCTATTGATGTGTTTTATTACCAGCAAAGCGCCTTCTTCAGCCTTCTGGACTTGTACAGTCGGTATCCAGCAGTTGTCCGCTTACCAGCTGAGAAGACCAGGGACATCATCAAGGCGCTGGAACAGATCTTCACGCTGTTCGGCATGCCACGGCACGTCATCTCCGACAACGGTGCACAGTTCTGCAGCGACGAGTTCCGTTACCAGCTTGAATCGTGGGGCATCAGCCACGAACGCACTGTGCCTTACACACCACGTCAGAACCCTGTTGAGCGTCTCCACCGGACCTTGAAGCAACGTATGCGGAAATCCGGCATGCCACGAGCAGACGACACTCTTCGTGTGGCGCTCAAAGCTGTTCGATCAGCTATCAACACCACTACCGGCAAACCGCCGGGAGATCTCCTACTACGAGGAGGTTATCGTACTCCACTCAGGCAGCTTCAGCCAGTAGATAACATGGCTACTGCCGACGATGACGAAGAGATAGACGAGGAAGTGCGTGAACGCGATGCTCAGCACAAGGCAGCATCCAAGGTGACTTTCGACGCAGCTCACCAAGCAAAATCCCGCACCTTGGTGCCTGGACAAGCAGTGTTTGTCAAGCAACCCTCTGGCTCAACTGACAAAGCTACCATCGTCACAGCAACACCACATGATGCAGTCATTACGACCGAAGAGGGAGTGACTTTCCGCCGTCATCTTGACCGTCTGCAAGTGGATCCGACGGAGGTAGTAGCAACAGCTACTCCGCTAGATTCCACAGTTCCATCAGCTCCCGGCAGTCCAACGGCCGCAACACCTAGTACTGTTCCGCCAGCTGCTGGCCGTCCGCAGCGTACGACTCGAAAGCCAAGTCGTTATCAGTAGACCGCTGGTCTTTTCTAAGAAGGGAGGACATGTGGTAGTCCCACTGAACTATGGCTGATAGTTGCATGACTCTTGTTGTAATGTATGTTTTGTCTCTGTCATTGATGCGCTTTCAGTAATCTGCTGATATGCTAGAAGCATCCTAGACCTACCTGCACTGTGTTCCTTCTGTACGCATTCGCCACATACTTAGCATGCCCTATCCCTAGCGCTGGGTAGTACCATGCAGTCTACCAGCGACGTAGGTCGCACGTGATACTTGTAGTGATTGTACATATTGACGGATCCTGGCGCAAGGTCGAGGAGATCGAGAGAGAGAGAGCCCGAGAATGGCGGCCAGATCCACAGTGTCCTAATTTATTATCCAGAACCGTTTTCCTTGTATTTATTCTTATTGCATGTATTGATTAATCCCATTGCTGGATTGAACCGTGTTGGCTGGTGTGAACTGATTGACGAGTTGACTGAAACAAATACCATCAATTCTAACGACGGAGTTTGTGTAATCGAACTGTGTATCAACATTAACTAATTCTGGAATCGACCGAAATGTGTGTAATCGAACGCGCCCATTGCTTATTGCATACGTCTTGTCTCTTCTGCAGCTGGAAACACTGCAGCTAGTGAATACACGCAATATCTCAGACGATGTGCTTTGTCTCATCTTGAGGCACTGCAGATCCCTGACAGTTCTTCAGCTGAAAGATAATCACATTGGACCTGAAGTCATTGACAGCCTTCTGGATAGCTGTCCTCCAAGGCTTACCGAACTGTCACTGCCCAAGGGTTCCCCACTCCTGCTTAATGAGCATGTTGCGGAATGTGTGGCTCAGTCTTGCCCACTCCTGGAGAAAGTGAATCTTAGTTGGCACACCAATATCGGCAATGCTGCAGTGCGATCATTACTACTCCTGTGTCCCATGCTACGCATCCTGGAGGTGAAAGGTGTGAAGCAGCTCACATCCGATCCGTTCTTGCCATTGGCGGTCGTATGCAAGACTTCAGACAGTGTTGAAGATGAAGCGGTACTGGACTCTGAAATGATGGCACTGGTCAAACACAACCAACAGGTAAGGATCCTTCTAGAAAGAACTGAGAACAATGTCAACCTCATCTCTTGTCAAGTATTGTGGGAGAAGAGAGAGAGAAGAGAGAGAAAAGAGAGAGAGAGAGAGAGAGAGAGAGAGAGAGAGAGAGAGAGAGTGAGTGAGAGTGAGAGACTGAGAGAGAGAGAGAGTCAGAGAGAGAAGAGCGAGAGAGACAGAGAGTCAGAGAGTCAGAGAGCCAGAGAGTCAGAAAGACAGAGAGACAGCAGGGGCATCGCACACAGCACGGTCACTACGGTAATGACCGTACCACTATTTGACCCAAGTATGCCGTGAATCATGCACTGATGTGGGCTCTAATTTTCCTAATTTTCGGCTCAGCCACCCTTTCCCACGAGTAAATTGTACTCCAGATGGCTGTACCACACAAAATTACCTTCCGACGTCCCTGGACAGAGAGACAGACAGGAAGAGAGTCAGAGGGAGAGAGTCAGAGGGAGAGAGTCAGAGGGGGAGAGTCAAGGAGAGTCATGGAAAGTCAGAGAGACAGAGACAGAGTCAGGGAGAGAGTCAGAGAGTCAGGGAGAGAGGGAGAGAGAGAGGGAGAGTCAGGGAGAGAGAGGGAGAGTCAGGGAGAGAGAGGGAGCGTCAGGGAGACGATCAGGGAGAGCCTCAGCCGGGAGAGGGAGAGTCCAGGAGAGAGAGAGGGAGAGTCAGGGAGAGTCAGGGAAGGAGGGAGAGCCAGGGAGAGAGAGAGAGAGAGACAGAGAGAGAGAGAGACAGAGAGACAGAGAGACAGAGAGACAGAGACAGAGAGACAGAGAGACAGAGAGACAGAGAGACAGAGAGACAGAGAGAGAGACAGAGAGGTAAACAGAGAGAGTGATACAGAGAGACAGAGAGAGAAAGAGAGAGAGAGAGTCAGGGAGAGAGACAGACAGACAGACAGACCGGAGACAGACAGACAGAGGCACAGTCAGACAGACAATCAGACAGACAAACAGCCAGGCTGTCTGTCTGGCAGCCAGCCTGCCAGACAGAGAACGGAGGATATGAAGACCAACAGGAGACTAGACTGATTGATGCCTTCCTACAAGTGCCTTTTTCTTCGGACTGATAATTAATAATGATAATCACCATCCTGAAGAAGACACTCGTCAATCAAAAGAGAGACAAGAGGGAGAAAAGAGAAGAGAGAGAAGAGGGGAGTAGGGGGAGAGAGCCCATAACATATTAGGCAGAATGCAATATTTTTGAAGAGAGCTAGCCAGCCACCCACCTGCACCCCATCTCCATCCATCCCTTAAGGCACCTGCCCTAGCTTGTATGAAAGGTGCGGTTACGTGTGTGTGTGTTTCTGTGTGTCGGTGTGCATGTGTCTATGAAGATGTATTGGTGTGTGTGTGTCTATGGAGATGTACTGGTGTGTGTGTTGTTGCTTGTATTTTTTCTATCCATGTGTGTGTGTGAGGGATATTTTGTGTTTATCGACCTGAAGAAGGCCTATGATTCAGTGCCCAGGGGGTGTCTGTGGCAGGTCCTCGGCCGTGCAGGAGTACCAGAAAAGCTTATCAACACCATCCGGTCGTTCCACGACCCCATGTCAGCATCGGTGCAGTTCAACAACATAATCCCGTTCAGCATTGGCAATGGTCTTCGCCAGGGGTGCTCTATGGCGCCGGTCCTTTTTAATATCTTTATGTGGGCCGTGATGACCCAGTGGCAACACCGCGTCAGGAGAGTTGACGGGGTTGGCTTCGAGCTCCGCTCAGCATACAGCAGCGATCTATACCGTAAACCCCGCCGTGACGACCAACACCATTGCCTAACAGATTCCCAGTTTGCTAGCGACTCTTGTCTATTCGCTACGACTCGGTCTGGAGCGGGCGCAGCATTGTGCTGTATTCACGAGGTGGCGTCGGGATTCGGCTTGACCATCAGTGCAACGAAGACTCAGTTTGTAGTTGTTGGCCCCGACATCACGTCTACTGACCGCGCTCCCCTCTAACTTGGTCAAGCGGAGGTGGAATGCGTACCGCATTTCAAATACCTCGGGTCTGTAGTGGACAGCGGTTGCCGTTCGTCCCGGGACATCGCCGCAAGGATTGCCCAAGCCTCCAGGGCCTGCGGTGCTCTTCGGAGGTCTGTATTCTCCAATCCACATCTGTTGATGCACACCAAGCGGTGCGTATTCAATGCTTGCGTTCTGTCCCTGCTGTTGTATGGCTCTGAGTGCTGGACGCCCCTTCAACATGACTTGCAGAAGCTCTCAACCTTCAGCATGAGGTGCATCCGATCCATCCCCGGGGTCTCTCGAAGCTGGATGTGGGACGAACACATCACCAACGAAGAGCTGCTGGTGCGCTGGGGAGACTCCGAGACGATTAAAGACAAGATTGCACATCGGCGGTTGGAGTGGTTGGGGCATGTGGCGCGGATGCCGGACAACCGCATCCCGAAACAGGTACTGTTTGGCTCCTTCTTGCAGCATCGCCCAGCACATGGCCCACGCCGCAGATGGTAGGACTGTGCTGTCCGGGATCTACGTGCCCGTGGCGTGGAGGCATCATGGTATGATGTTGCATGTGAGTCCCACGCGGAGTGACGCAGCACCTACCAAGAGCCTGACAATGCGCCTGAGCCTCCGCCCCGAGTGGTATGTACGGTATGCGGACGGGATTTTGCACGGAAAGGAGACATGGCTCGGCATAAGTGTCTGGAGGAGCGTGCGCGGCCTGTGTCTGAGCAGCGGGGTGCCAGTCAGTGTGGGCGGTGTGGGCGGTGGCTGAGAAGCCGCGGTGGCTTGGTCCGGCATGTGTGTGCCTCAACGGTGGATGCCACAGTGCCACCTGGAGCTACCGGAACGTCGGCACCGGCGGAGGGATGTTGTGCCGCGCATTGTGACAGGTGTGGTCGCTGCTTTCGCAGTGTTCGGGGACGGGGCAGGCATCGCTGTTCAAGGGTGGCGCATAGACCAACAGCAGAGGAGCGCTCAGCCTTCCAGCACGTGTGCATATGCGGCAAGCGGATGAGACTACCCGTGCACCTGGAGCGTCATCGAGCGTCGTGTCCTCTCTCTCTCTCTCCTCTCAGGCTTCCCAGTGATGGGATCACGTGACCCATTTGCGGCAGTGACTCTACAGAACAGGACAGGACAGGTGTGTGTGTGTGTCTTTGTGTGTGTGTGTGTGTGTGTGTGTGTCTGTCTGTGTGTGCATGTGTGTGTCTTTGTGTGTGTGTGTGTGTGTGTGTGTGTGTGTGTGTGTATATATGTGTGTGTGTGTGTGTGTGTGTGTATGTGTGTGTGTGGGGGGGGGGGGGGGGATTCACTGGCCAGAAAAAGCCACTTCAAACAGCTATGTGGTGGATACCAGGCTAAAATTAGTGGCAGTCAATTCATCAGCCTTGCAAGCTGTTGAATGGTGTAATCCCAGCACAAGTTGCTGTGTCTAACATGGCTGTTCGCTATCATCGCTTCCGCGATGGGCATGTCTGAGTCTGTGTGTGTGTGTGTGTGTGTGTGTGTGTGTGTGTGTGTGTGTGTGTGTGTGTATGTATGTGTGTTTGTGTGTGTGTGTTTGTGTGTGTGTGTGTGTTTGTGTGTTTATGTATGTATGTGTGTGTTTGTACCGGTATTGTATGTTTTCTGCATGTTTGGTGTACTGCAGTACTACGTACGTCGCTCAACAGTGTACGGTCGTAACTTACAGCTTCTGGACTTGAGATTCTGTGATCATGTGGATGTTGAGCATCTGATGACAATAGCACGTGCGACATTCCAATCCCTGAACGTTAGGCACTTCAAGTTTGACAAGGTCACCGAGGGTGGTGAGGCCAAAGTCACGAGGGTGGTGAAGAGTAGAATGTAGCACATCAACATATAGGGGTGAAACGAAGTAGTCGAAGGTTCGAAGGACCTTCGTTTTCGATTCGAACGAAGGTCGACACGGGTTTAGTGCATGCATGCATGCATTGATTTTGTGCGATGTGCTGCATGCACTAGCACTGTCCATGCTGTACAAGTAGGGGCACGGTCCGCGTGCGCACCGGAGCTGAAGAAGTGACACGTCACAAGTCCGTACGAACTGGCCCTGTTCCAGTCACCAGCACTCAGCGTGTTCCCGTTTTGCTGTAATGTGTTGTGGATCTACCATGGTGTACTCAGTATGACTCATAGATGACTTTTTTTGATTGTATTCCTCCAGAGTGCTTGGCGCTCTGCGATACTAGTAGGAGAGTAGTTTTGCGATTTCGATCCTGTTTTCGCTCAGTAATGCTGCTTGTACAGTGCGGATCGGCTATAGGGTTGTCGGCTATAGTAATATACCTCTTATAGTGATCGCATTCTCAAATTCATTTTAGTAAACCACCCCTTTCTATACATATCGAATCGGCTATAGTAATAATCGGCTATAGTAATATATCGGCTATAATGATTCGATTTCTGTGTCAAAATGATCTCATTGCATACATTTTTCATCGGCTATAGTGATGATCATAAAAAATATACATTAACATCGTACATGGCGAGATCTGATCGCGGCAACCAGGAAGCGCTCGTACGACTATGATATCCCTCGGAGAAAATTCGAAATGTTTGGCGTTGGTTGTGCTTGTTGTTTCGGGGCATCCTCGAGCGAGATCGGAGGCAGTATTGAGTACCAGCGCTGAAGAGCTGCCGTGGTCTCCGCCGAGATGTTGGAGAAGGCATTCAGGTAACAGCGAAGACGATCAGGGACGCGGAGAAGCTTTTCCGTGACATACGACATGACGTCGATTGACCTACCACTTGGAACGGTTTCAGCGGTGATGAGTCGAGTGATCGCGACACGAACTGAGACTCTACTCCCACTAATCGATCCTGTAGATATTGTAGATACGTCGATTGAATGTGTTGAAGTGTTTCTCTTCCAAAAGAACCCATTTGTTGAGCACAGGAACTCCTTGAAAACTCATGTCAAAAAGTCACGAAGTTTTTGTTTCCGCAGGAAGTAGCTCTGCACTGCGCGTATTGCACAGTCACATGCACAGCACGCTTCTGCACGCTGCACTGATTCGAATGACACCATACAAGCATTTGTCAGGCATACCTAAGTATGCATATCGCCTATAGTAATAATATCGCCTATAGTGATATTTTCACGAAAATCAAACACCAACGCTATAGCCGATCCGTACTGTACCAGGAATATAGCTTGCTGTAGCTGCCGTCGATATCTACTACTACTAGCTGTGATGGTGTCTGGAGAAAGTTGTAGCAGCGATACATACGAGTGTAGTCTCATAATTTGAATCGATAATAAAAGTTTCCATCGCTGAAGCCATTGCAGTATTCACTCTCCCAGCAGCAGCGAGAGGGAGCACAGCGATGGCCTGAAATCATCGAGGCAGGTGAAGTTCCTCACCCAGTGACTATTCACTCTCCTCTCCATCACCAATGCAGTCGCTGGATGCGAGCAGATAAGCGAAAAGTACATATCCAGATTTGACAATTTTTGATGAATTTGGGCATCTGATATTTACTACGCAACATGGCTCTTTCCGTCCATTTTGGTATTGTTCAAGCAACTGGCTGTACACTAGAGCAGTGATCTCTTGTCGCTTTGTGTCCAAAAGGCGAAGGCTAACACGTCTGTACATGATCCAAAGTACACTGATCTAAATTGTCAGAAATATGGACAATTGACTCACAAACAGGTATTAGGTATGGTCTCTATCAAGAGTATGTTAAAACCTTGCCTCTATCTATAGTTGTGTGCTAGGCCAAAGTATTCTTTTACCTGGAATGGATATACATTGATACCACCAGATTCAGAAAGAATTGCACATACAACATAAGCATTGGGTTCTGATTTTTTGCCCCTTTTATTTTTAAGATTTCCGAGCATTTCCGTGATCATGTTAATTAAAAAAAGAATCCTTCGACACCTTCGTTCGTTTTAATAAAGAAGGTTCGAATGGTAATTTGAGACCTTCTTTTCACCCCTATCAACATACCAATATCCAACCATGCTGACCAGATACGATTTGAATGCTAGTGTTTTGAGTGTGTGTGTGTGTGTGCGTGTGTTCGTGTTTGTGTGTCTTCGGCTGTGTTTGTGTCTGTTTGTATGTGTGTGTGTGCATGTGTGTGTCTGTGTGTGCTGTGTCTGTCTGTGTGCTTGCCACATTGCGTTGATGCATGCGGATCGCATCTCCGTTGTCTTGGAGGAACGAATAACTTCCATGTTCATATAAAATATTTTCTTCAGTGAAATGTTCAGGCATGTTATGCCTCCTCGCCGACCATGATGGCTATGCCCATGTCAGTGCATACTAATAAACTTTCTATCCACTTGAGAGTTTTGTGTGTGCATTGTCCACTGTGTACACAGGTGATGTGGAGTGGCAGTTGGCTGTGGCCAGATAAGGATGCCAGTGACTCCTACTGAGTCAGTTTAGGTCTGTCCTGCCATCCCAGCTCCCACCTACCTGATGTGGTAGTCAAGGGATTGCCGGTTTGTGAGGCGGTTAGACAGAGCATCATAGCCAGGGCTTGCAAACCAGGCAACTGATGTAAAGACTCGATGATGGGCATGCTGATCTAAAGTTCTTTTTCACAGCTAAAGTAATGTTAGTAGGTAGCGCCATGATGGCATACTTCTCCAAATGTATCGCCCCTGTGGAGTTTTATTCTACCTACCAGGAAGCTATGTACCAGGGATTGCCGGTAAATACCTTGCTTTATGACTCGCTAGAAACACCGGGATGTACCTTGGAGGGGATTTGAACGTAGAAATACAGCATGAAATTTGACAATGCAACTAATTTGTGTCAGCAGCAATCAACTGATCGACATGTATTCCTTACCGCCAAACGAGTGGCACATGCCAAGATCAAACTGCATGGTGTCACAGAACATTTGTATTCAGGAAATGTGGACGGCAAGTGTCCGAGCTGTGAGAGGTGGCCTCTGGAACTAAACTGTAGGTTCATAGTCTCTGGAACCAGGTTCATGGTCTGTGGAACCAGGTTCATGGTCTGTGGAACCAGGTTCATGGTCTGTGGAACCAGGTTCATGGTCTCTGGAACCAGGTTCATGGTCTGTGGGACCAGGTTCATGGTCTGTGGGACCAGGTTCATGGTCTGTGGGACCAGGTTCATGGTCTCTGGAACCAGGTTCATGGTCTCTGGAACCAGGTTCATGGTCTCTGGAACCAGGTTCATGGTCTCTGGAACCAGGTTCATGGTCTCTGGAACCAGGTTCATGGTCTCTGGAACCAGGTTCATGGTCTCTGGAACCAGGTTCATGGTCTGTGAAACCAGGTTCATGGTCTGTGAAACCAGGTTCATGGTCTGTGGAACCAGGTTCATGGTCTCTGGAACCAGGTTCATGGTCTCTGGAACCAGGTTCATGGTCTCTGGAACCAGGTTCATGGTCTGTGGAACCAGGTTCATTGTCTCTGGAACCAGGTTCATAGTCTCTGGAACCAGGTTCATGGTCTGTGGAACCAGGTTCATGGTCTCTGGAACCAGGTTCATGGTCTCTGGAAACAGGTTCATGGTCTCTGGAACCAGGTTCATGGTCTCTGGAACCAAGTTGATGGTCTGTGGAACCAGGTTCATAGTCTTTGAACGAGGTTCACCTCTTTGGCCAAAAATTGGAACAAGAAGACATTTGAACAGTGCGTATGAAAATCAAACCTGTGTACATAGTCATTGACTACACCACCACCGCCACTGCTGTGCTCTGTAGCCGACCACGCACACCTTCCCCACAATAACAAGGGGTTCCTTCGGAGTACTGAATTCTGCTGCCTAAGTTACTAGTAGCTTCTCCTATAAATGAAAATCAAACCTATTTCCAGAATTGAAAACTTTCCAGGAGACAAAAAGCGAATCACTGCATGAAAAATCCCCTCTTGTCTCCCTTCTCACCTTCTCTTTCTTTTTTCCCATCTTTTGTTCCTCTCCCCTTTTGCAAACTATTTCTTCGCTGAATTTATGACTTCGTTGTCATGATCTGGTAATGGGTACCTCCCTTTTGACGCTATCATTCGTACTGTTCATTGGTTCTACTAGTAGTTGCTTGTGCACTGACTGCACTGATAATGAGTCATATCTTTCATATCCAGCTAGAGCTCCAAGTACAGGTAGTTACTATGGTTACTAGCCCCTCGGTCTACTGTTCTCCCTGTGGTTGAGTTCTAGTGGAAATATTACTCATCTTTTATCAACTTGATTTTTTGTTGAAAAGATTACGTCATATCCCATATCTCTGACCATTCTCCATGAAAAGGTGACGTCATATCCCATATCTCTGACCATTCCCCATGGAAATGTACGGTATTAGAGTAACGAACATGTCCAAGTTATGGGCAGCGCCCGGATTAGAGAGAGATATGACTTTGAGTGTAATTCTCTTGGACATTGCACGAAAACTGGTTCGTGGAAACATTTCTCGAATCCTAATGATTGTGGTGGAGAAAAATTGTTCTTTTTCTTGCCGATATTTTCGGAATTAGTGTGTATCATCATCGGAAATAAACTTTGCTGAGATCCAAAAGCAAAGCAACGTACAGAAGTACAGACATGGCACAGTGGCATGTGGCCAATCCTTCTTTTTAATCACATATTAGAGTGGGTTTTAACAAAAAATAAGGCTGTGCTAGTGTTTGTTAGTTAGTATAGCTCTGGACACAGTCAAGGAGACCTCTCCCGATGATGCACTATCTCGACTCAACTGTGATTTCGTGTGTTGGCTTGCAGCTACCGGAATGCATATAACAAACAGCGCGGGCGCAACTGAGCATACCGGCGAGTCTCTACTAATAACACATGCATGAGGATGACTTGCCATGTGCTCTGACCATTGCCACTCACTCCTTGCCTCTTTCAGAAGCAGAAACAACACGTTGAACTGAGCGGTTCTCAAAACATACATGCATTGTGTGTCCACGAACATATTCTATCGCCAGGTCTCTCTGCTTCTAGGGGTCATATCGGCGGTGACAGTTGTAGCAGCCCATAGTATTGGTTTTCCGAGCGCTGTTCCTGGAAGCACTTGTGTGAGCAAAGCAGAGCCTGCATGGGTATCTGTCCAGATTTGCGAGTCTCTGGGAACACCTGTGCATGCCAATGGACACACATGCGGCATAATAGTATACAAAAATGACTATCATTGATTGAAATCTGCCGCCCACATTAAACTATTCGCGCCCCCCCCCCCCCCCCCATCCCCCCACACATACCTGTAGGTATCACTTGTGGGTCTCCCTTGAAGCTGGGCGGGGGGAGGAGAGATTCAAACTGAGACTCTTGGAAAGATGATTATTAAACTTGCTTTTGCGCTCAACCGCCCAATGGCTGACATGCCGGACTCTGGGTGAACTTGGAAATGATTAATTGATCACATTCAGTGATGGGCTCACAACAGAGGAGTAAATGAAGGAGTACAGATTGGAAAAAATGTATTGACAGCATCAGGGCATCCATGGCGGGGCAGCCCCTGGAGGATAAATGCCGGCAGAAAAATTGGCAGAATTTGTTACTTGTTTCTGGTATGTTTCATGCATGTTTGGTGTGTGCATAAAGAAATGGACCAGAATTAAGGAAGTGGCTGCCATAAGGTTTCTATGGTTCTGCCAAGTTCACTGCTTTACGAGCAGAATCTGAAACATTTCCGAGCATTCTCCGCCAAGGGCTATTGCGGTGTCCAGCTGGACTCACCTTCTTAATGGAGACAAACATCACACACTCTATGCAGATGGAGAGGAAGTTCCGCTGGCACACGCTGCATTCAGATGCCGCTGCCAGCGCTTGGTACAGAATTGGATCTTTGGTTTTGATGAAGTGAGACGCACGTTTCCTGAAGACATACACAGAAACACGCATACTCTTCGACCTCACAGCAGAGCAGATGTTTGCATTGTGCATCAGGTTTTTTTTTTAAATTTGACTTGAAAATACACCGAGGTGTTGTGGGCTAGGCTGCAAGGCAGACCAAGAAGTTACTAGTTATGTCTAACGTCCACAAATGACGAAACAGTTCTGTCCGCCGATTGAGTAGTTATGACTAACAGTCAACAGCCTTGTTGTCACACTATCTGACTGTATAAGATCTCGTTACCTTGGTGGACGGTTAGGCATTGCTAGTAACTTATTAGCCCTTTCTCTTTTTATAATTTATGGCTAGTTTTTACGCAGCATGCCGGCTGATCTCGCATGGCTACATTGGGCAGATACTGGCAAAGCTGAAGAGTTTCATATTGGTGCAACAACATTAATTGGACATAATGCCTACACATTGAACTGGCTCAATCCCTTTGCTTTATAAATTCGCTATGATGAACTTCATATTCATCCAGATCTGAGATCGGAGCCGGGGACTGTACGGGCATGAGCCCATTGTGCGACATAAAGTCAATTCTTGGGTTTGCAAATATCACGCGGGTGCGGCACGCTGTAAGCCGTGCAATGGGAGACTTCATGGTTCATGCTGGTTCTCGAATCCAGTGCTGACTGAGGGCAGATGGTTACACAAGCCCACTCGCTGACTGCTTGGGCTACAGAAACATAAGTATGTACAATGGTGCTCAATGAAATCCGGTCACGTGAGTCAAGTGTGCGGCTTGCGCCACTTCGCAGCCCAGTGTTCGCAGGTCGAGGGCTGCGCAACGCCTGGCGCTTTTAAAGTTGCTCGAGTGACTCGATCAGATTTCATTGAGAGGTACTGTACTTCGAGCTATGTCCAGACAAAACACTCTGTAACCCGGTATAGTCTAGGTATAGTCTAGGTATAGTCTAGGTATAGTCTAGGTATAGTCTAGGTATAGTCTAGGTATAGTCTAGGTATAGTCTAGGTATAGTCTAGGTATAGTCTAGGTATAGTCTAGGTATAGTCTAGGTATAGTCTAGGTATAGTCTAGGTATAGTCTAGGTATAGTCTAGGTATAGTCTAGGTATAGTCTAGGTATAGTCTAGGTATAGTCTAGGTATAGTCTAGGTATAGTCTAGGTATAGTCTAGGTATAGTCTAGGTATAGTCTAGGTATAGTCTAGGTATAGTCTAGGTATAGTCTAGGTATAGTCTAGGTATAGTCTAGGTATAGTCTAGGTATAGTCTAGGTATAGTCTAGGTATAGTCTAGGTATAGTCTAGGTATAGTCTAGGTATAGTCTAGGTATAGTCTAGGTATAGTCTAGGTATAGTCTAGGTATAGTCTAGGTATAGTCTAGGTATAGTCTAGGTATAGTCTAGGTATAGTCTAGGTATAGTCTAGGTATAGTCTAGGTATAGTCTAGGTATAGTCTAGGTATAGTCTAGGTATAGTCTAGGTATAGTCTAGGTATAGTCTAGGTATAGTCTAGGTATAGTCTAGGTATAGTCTAGGTATAGTCTAGGTATAGTCTAGGTATAGTCTAGGTATAGT